GAATTTATGAATGATGTCGAATTCGTGCAATTCCGTAATATGTTTTAAGCGAAAACAGATCGCTATATACATGTGGGCGGAATTTTTCCTCCCACGTAGACAGCGATCTGCTTTCATTTGAAAAGAGTCAAGCATAGCCTTGATATGGCGCTCATTAAACATTTCAAAGATATTTACTATACAACATAAAAAGGGCCCTAAATTTGGCTATTTGGCCCACATTTGCCTTCTGGCATCCATTAGCAGAAAAGAATCCTAAAATATGTTGACATTTAAAGCAGTGTCCACTCATCTCGAAATATATTTCTGAGTAGAAAACAAAAAGTGCTTCTGGAGTGTTTCTCATTAACAATAAATCATATAATTACTAAGAAACCTTTGAGTTATTCTAAGGTGCAAATGTAACCTTCATATATTTCAAGTATATCTTTAAACAAAGGAAAGGAAGATAGGTGTTAACAAATAATATCAATTTGGATTTCAAAATTAATTCAATATTCATCCTCAGATTTGCGATGGTGAAAATAATAATTTTTTTTTTTTTTTTTAACTTTTCAGGACTTCCGACAACAGTATCTCTTCAAAAAAAAAAAAAAAAAAAGTATACAATGCAATATTGTAAGGATCTTAAGTTTTACTAACGTTTATTTTATTTTAAATTTTTACTATCACTTCTTATTTTCTACTTCCGGCCAGACTTATAAGCGTTAATGTATTTATGCAAAGTTTGTCTGGCGAACGCCAAGTATTTAAGTTGTGGCTTTTTGCCAAGCGAGAGAGAGGAAGCAGTTAGTCGAAGCAGGCCGCTTACCTTAGAAGTTTGACACAGTTGCTGGTTGCCGTCCAGGCCAGAGGTTTAATCCTCTTGATAACTTTAAACATATTGTAGTGTTCTCAGTTATCTGTACTACATACGGCTTCCTGTTAATATAAGGCCAATCTTCCACGTTTATTATTTTAAAGTTAAATTAGAGTTTAGTTTTATTTTTTATATTCTTACGTTTAGACCACAAGTGGTGGGTCATTGTATTCCGAAGTACGGAAATTATTGTAAATAGAGAAAAATAAACGGTTTTGTATACCCTTCTTGTGTATCCTGTCTACTTCCCACAGTTTTGAACATAGCTTTAGTAAGCTCTCTGTTCCGAGTCAGGTCCTTGCATGTTCCCGAAGAAGGTTAGACGGAACATTGAACCTGATAATATATTTGCGATTTGAAGAAGAGGGACTTGAAAGGGAAATTATTGCCGTTCTGAGGTTGAGTTTTAAGCAAATTAATTGAGCAAAATTTTATGCTCAACATAATATACATTCCTTTCCTTACATAAAAATATTGAACTCCATTTTGTACTGCATTAGGTATTGTTATGCATAAAACGTTAATTGCCTTGGAAAATACATCCTTTGGTGTCACATATTTAAAATATCATGATACGAGGTGCGACACACACACACACACACACAAAAAAAAAAAACCGAACTAAGTGTGAAGCTTGAAAACAAGGTGGAGTTGGCAACTACTGTTTTGGTGATTTCGTGCCACACACCTTCTCTATCCATGAGACCAGTTTCGACCTAACCGACCACGTGAGTGGGGAGTACTGCGTCATTGAGTGAGCATGTGCAACTGCATTTTGTCGGAAAAATGTGTAATGTAAAAAGGCGGACAGTGAATCAACATCAAGTTTCTTGTGAAACTTAAGAAATCTGCCACGGAGTAAACATTTCAAATGTTAAGCGAGGCTTATGGAGACGAAACGTTATCTCACGCACGTGCGTTTGAATGGCATAAGCGGTTTTCAGGGGGAAGGAACAGTGTGGAAGATAATAAACGTGTTGGGCGAACAGCACGTTCATCATGATCGATCAAATGGGTTTCCAGTGGGTCAGATTGTTAATCAACACCACTACATAGAAGTACTAAAAAGACTTCGTGCAAAAAACTAGGGAAAAAAGGTCACAGTTGTGGAGTGATGGATGGCTGTTGCACCAGGACAAGGCACCCGCTCCCACGGCCCTATCTGTCAAGCAGTTTCTGACCAGCAAAAACATTACTGTGACTGGGTATCCTCCGTATTCACCTGATTTGGCTCCATGCGACTTTTTCTTATTTCCTAAAGTTACATATTACTTAAAGAGAACCCATTTTACCTCCGCTGAAGAGGTTCAGGCAAAACTGAAAAATCTCCTGAAGGGCCTTCCAAAAACATCGTTCCAGAACTGTTACCAGCAATGGCAGCACCGAATGCAAGAGTGTGTGAATGCTGAAAGGAACTAATTTCAAGGTGATAATGTCACGGAGAACTGATTATGTAAGTACAATGATTTATTGAACCACTGACGTTTTTTTTGCGTCACACCTTGTATGGCATAGTTAAAATAAATCATAGCTAGAGTCTACATCAAATATAACACAGAGGTTGTTCGCACATACATGATTTTGCTTTGCTATAAAATCTGGTCTGCTTGTATTTTTCAACTGCAACTGTATTTTTTGAAAATATAAATTATCTCTGCTGGTTGGCAGATTTGTTTTCATGCAAAATAGCACTTTCAAAGAAGGTGTGGATGGAAAGCTCTTACCGAAGAAAAAATATTCGTATCAAATTATCAAATTATTAAAAAATGATGTGAAATCCATGGGTTTATTTTATATCTAACGCTTCAGTAGGTAATATTGTGAACAGGAAGGGGGAAAACATCATACTTGGGCTTCAAGTGGAAATATTGTTCTAAATACGCGTCCAACCAAAACACGGAATGTTTCGAGTGTTGCAAATGTAAAATATTTAATGTTAAAGAAAGTCTGCCAGGTCAACGGCTCTAAGCGGCAAAGCCGTATATATACGTGCATATTAAAATATTAAGGCAATGTATCAAAAGAAAACAAATCCAGGTATGAAATACCAGAAGCGTTTTTTCAAAAAAAAAAAAAAAAATTGTTCTCATAGTAGTTTTGGGAAATTTGTGCTTTCTTAGCGAAACCGCTGGCCGCCCAGAGGGTTTTAAAGTGTTCAGTATCATCTGTAAACAAAGTAATCGACGCTGATTTGAACCTGAAAAAGGCGAAAAAATATAATATATATAGTTTTTCTCCACGACATGTCGTCGAACGTAGAACGTGCTACAGAATTATTTATGAAAAACTTTCATCCGGACGAAAATTGAAAAATGTTGTCACAGTAGATGAATCTTGGTGTATTTAAATGACTGCGATAAAAGAGTTCCATTTACTATCATCATAGAGGGCTAAAAAAATTCTTAAAACACATTCAAAGAATCTGCAGAAAGTTTTTCAAAGCGATTTATGACTGTTGCTGGTTTTTCATATAACGGCAATTCAAAAATAAAGACATCGGAGAAAAATATTAAAATCAACTTCGCATATTATCAGGAACATATTTTATACTCAGTTTTCAAGTGTGAAATACCTTCTCTTCATCCACAGAGCCATCAGTCAGTAGAATTGTATCAAGACAAAGCAAGCAGCCACCTGTCAAAATCCATGGTTAATTTTCTGGAAAAAATGGCACAAGAAACGGGAATCAAGGCTCACCCTTCACTCACATTCACATTCACATTCATAGCACCAAGGCAGTCCACATTTACATGGCAGTCCGTTAATTTTGGAGCACACCTATGAGGTAATTGATGATCAAATTCCCACATGGATTTGATGAGCTTCATTCACTCGCATCCTTTCGGTTACATCCCTACTAAATCCCCTGATGTATCACTCATGGAGCTTCGTGGTTTAAGACTTTTAAAAAACGGTTTGTTCAAACGTCGATCTGCAACCCTGATCGAACTTTAGAACACTGTTCAAGAGGAATGGGATAAAATACCTCTTCCGATACTACAAAAGACATTATTGGCTTGGAAATTAAGGAGTAGAAAGATACTGAATAATAAGAGATACCAAACAGAACATTTAAAACACAAATATTTTAGGTAAAATACTTCTGTAAATATAATAAAAATCATCTAAAAGTTACGTGAACAGTCTCTCTCTATATATGATGATATTCTTTGGGCAGCTGCTTACTAAAATGTGTGTGTTGATTAATTAATTAAATATTCCATGGCCTTGAGTTCCTTTAATCACCTAATATTTTTGACATTTTTTTAAAGTTCTCGAAATATTCATTTACAATAAATAATTTATTGATTATATAGATTTCGTAGAGACATTAGGTTATTTGGAAGCAGGAAAGAGGAAAAATGAGCAACGCCTTCGCCGGGACTCGAACCATGGACCTCCCGAATTTGCGTCGAGCGTGCTGATCACTACACCACGAAGGCATGCTAAGAAGGTGGGAGAAATACCTTATATACTCCCCCCTTTTAAAGGGCTACTGCAGTTTTAGGGGACCAATCGCCAAAATCCTGGTGGTGAAGAATCATCATTCACCACCTTTTGGTTCGGGCGCCACTGTAGAGATTAATTTATTTTGATGCGGGAGACGTGTAAAAGGAGCAATGCCCTCGCCGGGACTGGAACGACAGATCTCTGAAATACGCGTCGAGCATGCTGACGACTTCACCACGAAGGCATGCTAAGAAGGCGGGAGAACACCTTATAATTTTAATTACACTTGCTAAGTAGATTAAAGTGGTTTCAATTAAACTAGCTAAGTAAATAAAAGAGGTTTTAATTAAACTTGAAAGAGGTTTTGATTAAACTTGCTAAGTACTACATATCTTTATTACCGAGACAGTTCAGTACTGCAGTAGAAATTCAGCATTAAATCTATGCACCAATTTCAATTAATATTTTAGTGCCTTTGTACTCCACAATAAATAAATCAGTTTAATTACTGTTTTAAATTTTTCTTAATAAAATTATATTAAAACAGCAAAGATTATGCAGCTTTGCTATGAGAAATTCACAGCTGCCAAATTACGTGATGGGGTAACAGTAAGAAAAAAAATGCAGCTAGCTTCGATATAAAAGACCAAAAATGATTCTTTAACATAAAACTAATAAATAAAACACTTACCGATTTTCTTTTGGTTGTGTATCCTCAGATAAACGTGTCACATTTTTTTTTTTTTTTTACTTTTGTCTCTTTGATTTAAATATCCTGTTCCACAAACGAACGAAGAGATTTTTGTTTTGATGTTTGGTTTCTTTTGGGTCTGAATGTTGTAAATTTTCAAAGGATTCTTTTAAAGTGGTTTCTTTTCTTAAAAATCTTGGGGTTGGGGGAGGGGTTGTGTATGTACGTGGTTTACATTTTTTTGAAATTCTTCTTAAACGTCTCCCTTTTAAGTCAAACGTGACCCGCTTTCTAGGTCTTGCGTTATGATTTTTATTACTTTCCATCACAGGTGTTTGAGAGGCAGCGCTCAGAAACAACTCGTAGCAGCGTACCAATGTTGCTTCACGAATATCTCCCCTCTTAGATCGAAAGAGAGCTGCTTTGAAATTAAACAGGGGAATATCTCTTGGTTTCCACTGATTGGAAGCCGGTGAGCAGCGCATGCTCTTTAATAGAAAGAAGAAGCTACAGGTTGCGTGGAGCGCTTAGTGAAATTCGTTTGAACAGAATCGCAGCGAATCAAAATATCTAAAAAACAAGTCATCGCACGCCTACGTGCAGTTGATCTTTAAATTGTTTTCCTAGAAAAGGCTCCTGGGAATTTTACCTTGAAAAGGTTCCTGGGAATTGAAAGTATTGTTTCCAATTGTAAATATGAATGACTATTAAAAGGAAAAAGTAGCTCAGAATATTATTTACGTAAGAATGATAAAGTTTATTTTATTTTCACGATTTTCTATCTGGTTTAGTTCACTATAAATTCACATATCGGAGAAATTCTGACAAAGTCTACGATTTAGGAGAAAGAGAATTATTTAGCTAACTATTTTATGTTTAAAGTATTTTGCATGTTAGGGTTTCTAAAATGAAATGTGCAGTCAACAGGATGTTTGGACAGGAAACCAAGATGTTTATATGATTTATTTTACTTTTTCTTGTCTCGGCCACGGGGGTATAACATTTATGAACTTTGTGGTTCTGAAGGCCCAGGGAAAAGTCACTTATTGGCCGGACACGGGGTCTGGCATGTCCTGAGCGGTTGGATCCGTAGCCGGGGGGTTATCCTCCCGGTTTGCTGGGTAAAGGCCCTCTGCGACGGGCTCGCCCATGGGATCGGCACGTAGCAACTGACGACCAGTGCTGCCTGGTCAAAGAATGACCTGGATACGACACCTGGAGGGGCAGCCAAGATGTTACTAATGATATAAATGCTGCCGCCAGCAGCGCAAGACCTGGATACGACACCTGGAGGGGCAGCCAAGATGTTACTAATGATATAAATGCTGCCGCCAGCAGCGCAAGACCTGGATACGACACCTGGAGGGGCAGCCAAGATGTTACTAATGATATAAATGCTGCCGCCAGCAGCGCAAGACCTGGATACGACACCTGGAGGGGCAGCCAAGATGTTACTAATGATATAAATGCTGCCGCTCAACCAGTATAGTGTTTAGCCAAAGAATCTCTAAGGGGAAGAATGAAAGCTTCCATAGACGCAATGTAAACCTGTTTCGCCTCTGCGCCGCTGTACCGAAGAGCCACGGCTATACAGTGAAACACCAGCGCAGGGTGAAATTTAAACAGCGCAGTTCGAGGAGATAGTAAATTTTTTACTTTGAAATAACTCAAAATGTTTTATTTTTATACATTTCTGGAGTTTTATGAGCAAAAGGATGTTAGTTGGAATTTTGGGGCGGAATTATAGAAATCCTGTCCAATTTTTACTTTCAATTTAAACAGCAAGCCGTACGAAGACAAAATTTAAATGAATAAATTTCTTAATTTCTTTATTCTGTAAACTTAAAAAAGGGGGGAAACACATGCCCATACAAAAACGTAATAAATTTTTATGGATCCATAGTTAAAAATTTTACAGTGAAATTTAAAAGCAAAATTTGCAATAACTAACTGAAACAGAAAAAAATATTAAAGACAATTAAAGGCACCCCTAAATAAATTGAAAACACTGAAATACATTATGATTATCCGACAACAACTTTAAAAACAAATTACATGAAAACGTTTAGACAATTATTTGGAATGACCATTGGGAAAACCAAGAGCAAAGTTTTCACCCAATAGCCAAAACCATTTCATTTACAGCATTACATTTAAAAAGTCTTTAAAAGAATTTCACATAGCTAAAACCAAGTACCTCTGACTACAACAACAAAGAACGTTTTCGAACAACGTGGTAAAAGATTGCTAACATGGCCGATGGCATGCTGCATTCTTTGATGCTGCTTTGTTGCCTCGTGATGTTATTTCGCACATGCGCAGTGAGTTACGGAGGGTGCATAGCTTTGGAATGATTTGTCCCTTTAAAGTAAGCTTCAGGGATATACATAATGTGTCTCTTCGGTCTGACGGAGCCACATTTGCCCCGGGGAACCTTTACTTCTTCTCCTTAGAGACTCTTTGGTTTAGCGACACTGACTGCAGGTTTTAACTGGACATGGTAAGTTTCCGTTCTATTTCAACCGATTTAATCTGCAAGAAAATAAATTATGTAATGGTTGTCCGTTTGATGGTTATGCTAGGCATTTCGTGGTTGATTGTAGTTTAACAGCCCCTATTAGACAGATTTTTACCATTACTGATTTTAATGTGTCATTAATTTTAAAGTTTTTAAATCATTGCTCTAATGAATCTATTGCTCTAATGAAGTTTATGAATGAAAATAGGGCGCTAGTAGGAATCTTCGGTTAAAACTGAATTTTGTGTTTATATGGGCTTTGGATATCTGTGGTGTTCTATGCTGTGAATTTGTGTTTATAGATTTTTTTTAGTCCAAAGGGGCTTTGTCCCTGAAGAACTATTGTTTTCGTTTTGCGATTTTGCGTCGGACTATAAAGTCGGTTCACTTTTCAAAACTGTGCCACAAAATGTTAGAGTCCTGCATTATATTTGAAGAAATTAAATAATGAAAAATCTGCATAAATGATTGTCTTATTTCTCGCATTGTGATAAAACAATGGTACATAGAGCCATCGAATTTTGAATGACGAAATCCTACTGCGAATATGGGCATCTGAAATCCCAAATTTGGAATTTGTTTTTTTTATAGATTTTATATTTTGTAAAACTTTAACGAATTTTTGATGATTTACAACTCAATGCTTTAAAAGCGAGAAAATGGCACGTTTATATAGAAAAAAAAAATACTTTTATCTCCAGCTCGCGAGACTGTGTATATCGGAAATTCTAAAGATATGCTTAATTTAACATTATTTTGCGATATTGCTCTTGAACTGAATTTTATGGTTTAAGTGCAAAGAACATGATATTTAATAAATAAAGGTAACACTCAAAACGTTAAAAAAACGCCCCTTTGGACGTAATTTAAAATCTGAAACATTTCAGATTTTTTTTTTTTTTTTTTTGTTAGTTTGTTAGTCTGTAATTTTGTGTTAGATGTGCTTATTTAGCTTTGATGTAGTATTTTTGTTTGTTGTTTGGGGGTGGCTGGGTTACTGGCTGCCCTCGTTTGTGGAGACACGGGGCCCCTTCTTTTGAGCTATGGGGATACTTGTGTGCAGGTGCGCTGAAGGGAGCCGCCAATTCTTACAATTCTTATTGACTGCAGTGCCGAAGGACCTGGGTTTGATTCCCGGAAAAGGCATGGATGTCTGTAAATGGATAGTGTTCGTCCTAAATATGCGGCGAGCTGAAAATCCTCTCGAGAGTTTGTTGGTAGGGGAAGAGGGGTGAGACACACTCAGACCCGCCTCCTCAAGATGCTCCTCATTAAAATTGGGGGCTCCACTGACCTAAATCGCACTGTCACCTATAATGTGCTCCAGGCTGTTGCCAACGGCAGGCGTAAACTTGAGCTCCTTGCCACGAAGAATTTCGTGGGCTTGGACTGACTGTACATAAGACAATTGAGCATTAGCGAAGACAACAAAAACAGCCATAACAGATATAATATTATTACACATAGCCAAAGTGCATTTTCTGAAAGCGCACCACCAATGGCCGAGTGGATGCGACTCCTGAATACTGGCAGTTCGATCCAGATTTTAATCCAGACAAATGGCTTGACGACATAGATGTCTTCCTGATTTTTAACATGTGTAATGTGAATACGTTCTTGTTTCTATCAAAATATTAAATCAATATATCTTATTCTAGTCCTTCACGAAGTCATACGTGCCTTTAGGCAGATCAACCTTTTGTACTTTGCCGTTTCAAAATAGCCTTACTTAACCAGCTCCTTAAAGTGAAAAACATATAATGATTTATTGTTTTACTCCATTTATCTTCATAGTATTTTCTATTTAGCTTTATGCTGTCTAAACCTTAAGTATACTACAGTACGTTTCTGGAAATTTATAATATTTGCTTTCAAATTCTTCACACATACACATGTTTCTTCTCATATATGAAATGTTTCTCATGTGTAAAAAAAATCATGTTTACTGTCACAAATGAAAATATTAAACTTCATTACGTAGTTAAAAATGCATTGCTTAAAATCCGCAGACTCTCAGATATCCAACGAAAATATCCATTGTGACTATCGAATGCAATTTAAAGATATTTTTGCGAGACATCTGTACGTGAGAACAGAATAAAAGACTCTTTTCCCCCAAACGAATTATAAAACTGATTTAAAATGGATTCACAAGAGTTTTTTTTTGTGGCTCCTGTACGGGTATGTACCCTGTACGTATGTATATGTACGTACATGTATGTATCTCGCATAACTCAAAACAGAGTAGCCTCAAAACGTTGAAATTTTGTACATAGGACAGCTATAGCATGTAGTTGTGCACCTCCTTTTTTGGTGACAATCGGTCTCACCAAAAAGTATATATACATACCCACTCTGTTACTCGGCTCGGTGAGCTCAGTTCTTTATTCTTGTATGTTGGTAAACTGTATATTTTTTGCTTTGAAATTGATTGAATTGTGTTTTTTTATCTTCCGCTTAAGATTTTTATGCCTTTGAATAATCTGCATACAATAGTTGTAGAATTATCACCAATTTAAGATGTCTTTAAGTGAGGCTAAGCCGAATTTTTTTACCATAGCAGCCATATGTGTTTGCATTTGAAACCTAGCAGAATAGCTAATTTTCAGCACCTTCGGTGTCTTTTTGCCGAGAGGGACTAAACGAAAACTTCCATTTCTGTGGGCCAAAAAATCTGCTTTCTTGCCTACTGCCCGAATAGCTTGTTTTTGCGTATGAAAGTTTAATTATAAAAAGTTTTTTCAAAGTTTTTAACTGAATTTGGTGTTTTATGTTTTCTATAACTTTAAATTTTTAATGAAGATATTTTGAGGTTTCATGTATTTTTACCTTGCCGCAAAATGAGACTTGATTTTACTT